ATGGCTGAGGATGACACTGGGCGGGCTGGCCTATGCAGGTAAACTGCGCTCTTCTTAAAAACAGCCAGAGTTCACAGGACAGTATAACAGGCTGACACTCGATTGGCAATAAAAATATTAATTAGCATCAAAAAATACACATAGTAATCTTAACATTAAAAAGTTCTCTTAAAGAACTAAACCCACATCAACATGCAATGAGCGCTGATTCGACCAGTGCTGCTTACAGCCTTTGGCCTGCCCACTGTTATTTTCTCAAGACCCCAAAACATGGTTGACCTGAGGCAGATTTTGGAGGTTTTTTTGAGTTTTAAAGATGAGAAGCTCCTCTCTCCAGAGTGACTGGAAGAGTTAAGAGTCGACTGACTGCCAGCTAAGTTAATGTTAACTGGCAAAGTAAACAAAAGAAACAATGTTGTGCGACCAGAAGTTATGTTATTCAAGTGTCACTCCCCAAAAGTTAAGGCAGCAGCATTTAATTATTTTGCATTATATTTATTCATTATTATCTGCTCCACTCACCACTGTCTGCTCTAGCGTTTTTCTCCTCTTCCTCTTTTTCACTCACAGAACTTTAAATCCTCAAATTTTTCACTCATTGGTTTTTGTTGTTGTCTTTTGGTTTGTTTAAACAGGATCATGCACATCGCAAAACGTGAGTGACTGGAGTCAGGTGGGGGCCTCATAGGGAGTCAAGGTCTCTCCTACTGTCACTGCAAACTTTGACCACCACCCACCAATCAACAACTTTACAGGTATTGATGAATGGATTTTCTTACAGTTTTTGTTGTAAGCTAGGCTACAACAAAGCTAGATTTTCATCTGAGTCTGCAAAAAAAAAAAAGACAGGGATGCATTTCACTATAAGATCAGATCACCAAAGAGGACTTTGGTAATAATGTGCTTCATAAAAGTGATGCTGGAGCTTTTTGGGTGTATCTGGAAGCTTAGAAATTTGTCTGATTATGAATCGAACCAGGTGCAGGTGTCATTATGGTTGCCTTTAGGGTTATGGGCTTTAGAAAAAGTAAATGAGTGTTCTGATATGAAAACACATGCATCTATATGATTATTCATGTGATTGGACATAAACATACATACATGCATAAATCAGTATTTTAGTGCGAGTCTTCTGCAGAAAATGACTGTGATCAATCCTCAGAAGTGATGGAAATCTGTGTGTGTGTGCTGTATTGCATAACGGGCAGTCAGACACACTCTTCATTCGTGCCAGTCTGATAAGTGCCAACATCAGCAAACCGTTGGACAGGAAATTGTCACATGTCATCGAATTTATATTTCTTTAAAATTCGATCCCCAAATAGAGAAACCACGGGACATCACACTCACTACTTCCTCTTTCTGAAAACGTTTAGGTAAAAGAAAAAGTTAGTGCCACATGTGACTTATGAGATTAGCTGGTGACAAAAATTCTAAACATAGGATTTTGTCACAAGATTTACAGTTTTATTCTTTAACTTATGTGTACTGTTCAAAAATGCTGGCGAGTTTTGGCTTGCACAGTGCGCGGCTGTCAGGTTGGATGAGGAAGCTCCTCAACTGAACAGGTGTGACGTTTGTTTGTGACTTCTGAAACCTGAAGTTTGGCATTTTGCCTGCCACCAGGATGTTTTTAAGAGCCATCAGTCACGAGTTAGGGGGTGGATCTGACTGTTGATGTGGCGGCAACTTCTCAATAACAAGTGAGCTCGAACCTAAAACAAAATGATGATCATGTTGTAGTAAATAAGACTTAAAACTATCAACTGAAGCCATAACCAATCAGGAAAGTATCTACTGAGTTCGTAAATCAAGTGAGCAGCAGGGTAATGTTGTCATAGACTCCTGCACAGTTGAAACAGCTTCACTTTTTCACACCAAGAGACCAAATCTTTGTTATTGCATACGAAGGGAGTCAAAATTGAAGTGAATGAGAGTACCTATGACTGAATGTGAAGGTTCACTGGTATGAATGAATCAATGACCATGTGACCTTTGGCAAACGGACAAACACAGACCTAGTTAATGTTTAAAAGTTAAAGAACAGGCGTTTTTAACTCTTTCCCCCGTAAAGATGACATCTGACAACTTTCCCCGCCCACCCTTAATGATGAATTTTCACACTTCAGTATAAATCACTAAAGATGAAAGATTTGAGTTTCTCTCTAAATAACAATCTGTTTACTGACAACAAAGCATTCATATATGCATAATTAATGATAATCATTTTTCGTTTAACTCGGTGGACATATCTGAACACCAAGAAAACCCTTCCACACACATGATCGATGATGTAGTTGATGCATAAAAATGCAGTTACTTGAAGTTTATAAGACGGTAAAGAATCTTCTAATTTCATTTTTTAAAATTCCTTTTAAGACCACAACCACATTCTTCAGATAAACGTTCAAAAATAAAGAGAGGGAGCTGTGGATTTTGTCCCAATCAATAATACTGATATAGACTTGGACACAGATATCTCGGCCTTCTATCTTAAAAGCCAGAACGATAACAGCAGGAAGAGCAAAGTAGCAATAGTCGCCCTTTTTGTTTGTGACAACAGGAAATGGGTGTTGTTTTAAGACAGACTTGCAAAATTAGGAAACTATTCTTTAAGCACACATACATTCACACACCGTCACTTTATTAGTTACACTATGCTAGTACCTTTTGCCTACAGAACTACCTTAATTCTTTGTGGTACAAGGTGCTGGAATCCCTGCTCAGCGATTTTGGTTCATATTTACATCACAGCATCACACAGTGGCAGCAGAATTGTCTGCTGCACATCCATGATGCACTCCTACATTGAACCACATCTGAAAAATGCTCTTTTGGATAAGATTTGGTGGCTTTATAGGCCATTTGAGTACAGTGAATTTCTTAAATGGTGAGTTATCCTGCTGGATCCCTTTATGACCACAGTGTACCCATCTTCTGATGGGAACACTATGGTCGTAGAGGGATGGACATGGTCAGCAATAGCGTCCAGGTGTTTAAACAATGCTTACTTGGTAGTCCAAATGTTGCAGCAGAAATCGATAGTCATCAGACCAGGCAATGTTTTTCCAATCTACTATAAGTACCATTCAGTTTTGTTGAGCTTCAGTTTTCGGTTCTTAGGTGAAAGGAGTGGTACCTGTTGTGATCTTCTGCTCCTGCTTCAAGGTTCTGCATAACTTGCTTTATAACCACTGTTTATTTGCATTACTGTTACCCTCCAATCACATCACATCAGAATGACCGTTCACCTCTGACATCAACAAAGTGCTAATGGTTTGTTTGTGCTCTGGCACAAGCAACCACGCAACCTCCAAAGGCACTTACATCACATGAGTCTGACCACATCTTTAGATTAGGTCAACTTTAAAAGTCGTTACATTTAAAACAATGAGTGTAGTTGCATGTGATTCTACTAATCAGCTCTTACTCTTTTTATTTGCTGTATGCGCTTAAAAAACACAAGAGGCGTCAGTGTGTTTTTTTTTAAGCTGTAATCTTGCTTGGTGCAGTGTCTGCACAGCCAGACCCGTATGATGTTGATGCTCTGTGTGCACACACAAAACTGCAGGCAGGCCTGCCCTCATTAGAAAACAGCTTCGAGTCTATTTTTAGTCGGCAGCTTTGTCTTAAGTCTTTGTAAGAGGGGATGTACACTTACGTGATATTGTGATCTCCTGCAGCGATCCCATTGTCCATTAAATCCACACATTGTTAGTCCTGTAACATGAAAGCAGCCTGGAGAAAGGACTCGGGAGGCTTCTGCGCTCTCACACACCCTCTTAGTATATGAGTACTAGCTGGTTTGCTGCTCCCAGCTCTGGTCTTTGCTCAGGTTTAATCCTCTACAAAAATCAATTTCTTAAAAAGAATCAAATATTTTAATTAGAATAACTTTAAATACTCATTAAAACTTGCATTTGCTCGTCTTCACTAAATTCGACTCCTTGTACTATTCATCTGTCTCATGATGAACTAATAGCTATGTGTTTGATATACGCTAGCTCGTGAAGTGTGCCTACGGTCCTTTTGCGCCACCATGTGACCATAGGAAAAAAATGCGCTGAATAAAACGTAACAATATTGTGTTCCGCAGGATTATAGGATATAGGATTACATGTAAATAAGAATAAAGCCTCACTGGTTTGCATGAGAGTCATCAAAAGTGTGGGAAAACTGGATATATGAATACATAAATTAAGAATAAAAACAAAAATAACAAATCATTTCTTGCGTTTTTGATACTGACATGTTTACTTCTTCTTGAACGACCTACTTTCTCTTAAGAAAACAAGTCGGATGATTGCCTGAAACCACATTTGATCATTTCCCCTCTATCTCTAACTATAGCTGAGTACTTCTTCCACTGACATACATTGTAATGTACTGTGATGCTGAAACATCCTCTTGGTGTTTATGTGTCCTTTTCCTCCCCGTTCTCCAGCTGTTTCCGGCTCCATAGCTGAATGTTTTTACTGGTGAATCTTTTTGTTTGCGTGTAGTTGTTTACTTCTTTTATCATTCTCACTCTAATTCCAATTCTCTGGTCCTCTCAGTGAATAGTTATTGAAAGGGATTTCTTCCACTCCCTCCATCACCAGTACTACATTGGTGTGATACTGTGATACATTATTTGTGTTTTGTTTTACATTTTTTATATTGACGCTGAAATTTTCAAACAGACTAGAAATCTGATCAAAGGTGATGCTGTGCCTCAATTCACAACAAAGATCAACAGAACAGTGAGAGGAGAAAAAGGTGCATTAATGGTTGGATTAAAGTTGCATTTGCTTTCAACAAAAAATATAATCATCATCAACAACAACAAGAAAAAGAACAAACACAAATTAAAATGTGTTATCTTCATTCAAACACCTGAGCAGTTTACGCTGAAGTGTGATTCACTTTTCAGGCAGGTGTTTCTTTTTTAGTCATTAGGCTCTGATTGGTTAAGACTGCTCTCTGGCAGCATTTATAAGCCTTCACCTCAGTCAACTTTATTGCTGGTAGCCTTCAGAATGATGACAACAGACTACTTCTTGGGGTATGTGGCAAGTGTATTTTAATTTCTGATCTTCTGGCCTATTATAGTTAATGATCTTTTACAAATGTTTTAGGGGTTCAGTCCTTGTCTTGCTGATTGTGCATATATGCAGCCTTCCTCTTGAGAAAGGTAGGTGAAACTTTTCCATATATACAAACTGCAGTGCTTAACTTCTATTAATGTTTCCTTCTCCCTCAGGCTATTATCCAGGCACTCCTTACTGGAGAGGTAACACAAACACTGCAGGTAATGTTGCCTTAAGCCAGGGTGGCCCTTATGCATACCCATCCTTTGTTGTTGTACCTTATAATGCTCAGTATGGAGGGGTTGCAGTGCAGCAGCCTGGTGTCTATCAATATGCTCCCCAGAGCGTGCCAGTATTATATACTGGCTCCAGTTCTTCTGGTCCTGCCCAGGCTGGAGGATACACGACTGGCTCCACACAGGGTGGAGGTGCTGTTCGACCTGCAGCTGGTAAATAATGGAATCTTTCATGATGCACTACAAACATTTATTGTGAACATTACCAGCAAGTGTTGTGGCTTTCTCTTTCAAAAGGTTCAAATGTTGGTGTTTCTACTGGAGGAAGCGGCGCAAATACTGGTGCTAATGTTGCCCTAAGCCAGGGAGGACCTTATCCATACCCCTCTGTAGCTGTGCCTTATAGTGCTCCATATGGAGGGGTTGCAGTGCAGCAGCCTGGTTTCTCACATGCTGCTCAAAGTGTGGCAGCACCATACACCGGCTCCAGTTACTCCGCTCCTGCTCAGGCAGGAGGAAGCACAGCTGGCTCTGCACAAACTGGAGCAACTTCTCAACCTGCAGCTGGTACCTAGTGTGATGATGCAGTATAAATGCAATCATTAGGATCTCCTGACCCGAATCCTTGGTAACCTTGGCTTAAATTTTGCTGTTCTCAGAAATCAACTGGGCTGTCCCACCTCCCAAGCTCGGTGAGGAATCATCACCCAACCCTCAAAGCCTTGCCTCTGGCACAGCTGATGAGCCTGGTGCGCTTCTACCACCAGTACCTGCGTACCAACCAGGAGAGTTGTCCCACTATGAGAAGGCTGCTGAGGCTGGGGACTACCAGTCGGAGACAGAAGAACTAGGTCGCAGGACTGTCCCAGCTACGATGGACTCTTTTGCTGCTGCGGGTGGACTGGCATCCCCAGGCTTTGCCACAGGACAGTTTGGAATGGGTGGGCTGTGGGGTAGTCCGTATCCATCCTTTGACTTCTTGTTCCTGACTGGCCAGTACCCTGCGGGCACAGTCAGTCACTTCAGCCAGGACTACGAGCAGGGACGAGACTATTCTCACAGCACTCACTACCTGAAAGACCACCCCTACCCCGGCTTTGCACAGTCAGTGGGGGCTGTTGGAGCAGCTCAGAGCCTTCAGACTCCCAGCTTGTATGTGAGCAGTCCAGTGGTGGGAGGTTATTACCAGGTTGGAGCACAAATGGTACCCGCTTCTTCCTACACAGGTGTTTCGCAGGTATGTTTCCTAATGTCTAAATTTTACCACAACTACATGTTGTAATTGTACTTACACTTCCCTCTTGTCTTTCAGATAAAATACTAGCTGAATCCAATCGGCTTACTGAACTGGGCAACACAATGAACTGGTGAATGACTCCATGTGATACAATAAACTTGGTTTTCAGTGTTTTGAAACAGTGACTTCAGTCTCCTCTGTAGTGAGTGGTAATGAAGCTTTACACCCACCCTCCCTTGCTACTCCGGCAAGGCTCTAGTGCCTGTTCATATGTCTGTGGATAAATGCCAATTGCTGTAGTCAGCCTTGGATACTTAATGGTTCAGTAGTCTATAGCTTCTAGTATATCTTCGGTCTCTGATACAAAAAGCAAGACCCTAGTGTAAGGCCCCAATGATTTCCAAACTTGGGCAGATTTAGGCAACTTTTTAAAACCCTGATCAACTAATTGGCATGATAAAGACAAGCTAATAATTCTAGGTATTTAATTTCCCACAGAAATTAAAGCACTTGAGATAACTAAGACATCTGTCATGTTGGGAGTGAGACTACACAGAATTCACTTTACTAGTTTGCCATACAGTAGTTCCTTTTCAGGTCTTAAAGTGAGGAAATGTAAAAATCTATGGCATGTAACTGGCTTGCAAATTTCAGATTCTGTTGGCATAAAACATGAACATTTATATTGCATGATGTTGCTGCATCTGAGTATAAACACTATAGGACGAGCCTGCTGCTTTATATTATGCTTCCCCCATGTGGCCAATAAATCAAGTTTTAATAACGCTCCTCTACACAAACTTGTAGCACAGATGAATGCTGTGATTTCTGTAACTAGCATGTCAAATGAACATGCAACAGTTTATCGTCAATGATTTGCAGACACTCCCACACAGGTGTTAACAGCATTTACAAATCCACAATCCTTTCTACTCTCTTGACTTTATGTCCTCAGCTCCATGTGAAAGACTAACAGCTATGCATTACAGCTCCACTTTTCACATTAACCACCATTTATGAAGTAACTGCAGGCCATATAAGACCAAAACAGACTATTTTGCTAATTTCTAGTTCCATCTTTATTTGTGGATTACTAGAGTAGCTTTGCATGATGCAGTTTAAAATGCTTATTTTTATTATAGTGGTCTTGGTGCACCTCTCAAGTTCATTTCCTGTCTGCAACAAGAAATTTCAGTTCCCTTCCCCCTCCCTTGAAATTAATTTCCTTTGGACTGGCTGCCTCTAGCATGCAAAAGCTTTGAACAGCGTTTGGGTGGGGCTTCTTCTGAACTCACAGCCATAGACGTGTGCCATGAGATGGCCATATCAATGATATCAGTTGTCATTGACATAATATGGAAATGAGCAACAACAAAAAACAGTTTGAGCACTGGCTCATAGAGATGACTTTCACACATAATGCCCTCAATATTTGAAACTTTGTAAATATTAAATATGATTATTCACCACTGTAACTGTAAATGAATGATTTATTTTATTGGCACATAGACAGACTCTTTATTTTTAAGATTTGTGTTATAGATCACCTTTTCAGCTCCACCAAGGCAGTTGTTTGCCTTGTCAGGTATCTCGGGCTCTGGAGGTATATGTTTTTGATTTGTGGTTTTTGTAGGGTTTGTTATTTGTTTGTTTACTTGTTTCTCACTTCAGTCCAACCCCCAGTCTTCTTTGTGTATCGTGTGTTGTCTGGGTTTTTCTTTGCTCTTCATTGCTGCGTCTCACTGTTCTGTAGCATCCTAGCTAGTCGTAGCAGGCGTCTATTTCTCTTGGATGTGTATTCCTGTTAAAAGGATGTTTGTCCTCCCTATTTTTGCCAAGTATTTTACCACATGGGATGATATGATCCCTGAGGTTATTGCTCTCATATTGTAGGGCTTACCTTACAAAGACTACCATGAGTCACTTGTTGTGAACTGCTGCTTCTGTCTGTATGCTGTTCAGAGCTAGCCAACAGCAAATGTAGGGTCTGGTTTTGGAGCTGTTCCTATATTAACTGAACTAAATTATTATAAGAGATCTTCCCTTTTCCCCATCCCCATGTGCTGCTCAAGAGCAGGGGTCGGTTAACCTTATTCTATTTCACCTATATTTTCATGTGAAAGTACTTTGTAACTGTAGTTGGTCTTAATCTGTTCTGAGGTACTATTATCTGCACTTGTGGCATGTGATGTTTCTTATAAGGGTCACTATGTTATAAAAAATATATAGTAATTCATTTTAAGCAGTTTCATTGTTTATTGTTATTGTGACCAACAGCTGTACATTATTGAGATTTAAGCTCTGTTTATGAGAGATGGTTTTAGGACCTACATGAGACAAATTATTTTATTTCCCATTAAAGTGAATTTTAATTAAACTTCATTTTTAATGCACATTTCTTCCTAACAAATATATAATGTTGCTGAAATGTCCAAAAAGCTAGAAGTCTAATAAGGGTCGTATTGGCTCAGTGTTCGCACATCTCACAGAAAAGGTCAACAGAACAGTGAGAGATGAACTGTCACTGATGATTAGCATAAAACTGCTTAGATTTCCACAAAAATGGAATCATCTATCCAAATAACAAAAACAAATGCAAATGAACCCTTGTTATTTTTCAGAATTTGACGTCTACACCATCTGAGATTGTTGTAGGGTAGTCAGCAGCTCCTCGCACCTAACAGGTGTAACTATGAAGTGAGAATAATGAGTCTGCAAGCAGGTCGATCTCAAAGCTTTACACGTCACAGACGTGGCTCTGTTTTTACCTGGGAAATCACTGCGGTAACTTGTACTGAACGCTTAACCTGGTTAAGCCAGGTTATGTAGACAGTTTCCATCTAAAAGTGTTACGTCTCCACTGATTCCTTTATTTACAGCATGTTTAAGTGCCCTAAAGACTGTTGGATAAATATGTTTTATATGTGCACACTGTTAAGCTGTACCTTTAGTACCTTATAAACACCATGAATAAAACCCAGCTGTAGTTACAACAGCACAAATGCACATCACATTATCACTGGGATGTGACATGTGATGCACAAAATGTATAAATGCTTTTATACTTGTACTTTATACTATGCATTTCTGCCACATGAATCACTTGTATTATTTGCATCAGTGTTGCATTTTAAATCTTTATTTTTCATACTATTTCTAGATTTTACCATCATTTTATTTTCATCATCTGATAATGTCTCTGATTGGACTCATTGTCTTCATATAGGAATTGTTGATTGTTGAAGCCCAGTTGATAGCCACCTTTATGATACTCCTTATCTTTGACTCAAGCTTGAGTCACCTTTCCAGCAGGTGTATTCCATTACTTCTTTAAGCTCTGATTGGTTAAGACTGCTTTCTCGCAGCATTTTTAACCCTTCACCTTGGGTAATTGTTCTACTGGTTGCCTTCAGAATGATGACTGCAAGCCGCTCACTGGGGTATGTGGCAGGTGTAGTTGGCTTTCTCTTTTTACACAACTGACTACTTTTTGTAGGCACGTGATTGATATTTTCAAATGGTTTCAGGGGTTCCCTTTTTGTCTTGCTGGTTGTGGATATATGCAGCCTTCCTCTTGAGAAAGGTAGGTGAAACATTCCTAAACATACAAAACTTTGTGATAAATCTTCATTAATTTCAGTTCTTTCTCACCCAGGCTCTAATCCCAGCACTCAATACAGGATAACTAATGTAAACACTGCAGATAATCTTGCCTCAAACCCAAGAGGAACTTTTTAGCCAATTTAACTCCTGGACTTGTTCCCTACAGCCCTCAATACAGAGGGGTTCTAGTCCCAGCATATGTCAGCTCCAGTGTTTCTCAACCTAATCAGGCTGGTGGATACACAGCTGGCTCTACATTAACTGGGGGTACTGTTCAGCCTGCAGCTTATAACCAGTGAAATATTTCATGAGTTTAAATGTGCATTGCTCTCATTACAAAAAGGCATTCTGCTTTCTCCTAGATTTAAATGTTGGTGCTTCCCCCGGTAGCAGTAACACTGCAGGTAATGTTGCCTTGACTCGGGGAGGACCTTATGCATACCCATCCTCTGTGGTTGTACCTTACAATACTCTGTATGGAGGGGTTGCAGTGCAGCAGCCTGGTGTCTATCAATATGCTCCCCAGAGCGTGCCAGTATTATATACTGGCTCCAGTTCTTCTGGTCCTGCCCAGGCTGGAGGCTACACGACTGGCTCCACACAGGGTGGAGGTGCTGCTCGACCTGCAGCTGGTAAATAATGGAATATTTCATGATGCACTACAAACATTTATTGTGAACATTACCAGCAAGTGTTGTGTGGCTTTCTCTTTCAAAAGGTTCAAATGTTGGTGTTTCTACTGGAGGTAGCAGCGCAAATACTGGTGCTAATGTTGCCCTAAGCCAGGGAGGACCTTATCCATACCCCTCCTCTGTAGCTGTGCCTTATAGTGCTCCATATGGAGGTGTTGCAGTGCAGCAGCCTGGTTTCTCACATGCTGCTCAAAGTGTGGCAGCACCATACACCGGCTCCAGTTACTCCGCTCCTGCTCAGGCAGGAGGAAGCACAGCTGGCTCTGCACAAACTGGAGCAACTTCTCAACCTGCAGCTGGTACCTAGTGTGATGATGCAGTATAAATGCAATCATTAGGATCTCCTGACCTGAATCCTTGGTAACCTTGGCTTAAATTTTGCTTTCCTTAGAAATCAACTGGGCTATCCCACCTCCCAAGCTCGGTGAGGAATCATCACCCAACCCTCAAAGCCTTCCCTCTGGCACAGCTGATGAGCCTGGTGCGCTTCTACCACCAGTACCTGCGTACCAACCAGGAGAGTTGTCCCACTATGAGAAGGCTGCTGAGGCTGGGGACTACCAGTCGGAGACAGAAGAACTAGGTCGCAGGACTGTCCCAGCTACGATGGACTCTTTTGCTGCTGCGGGTGGACTGGCATCCCCAGGCTTTGCCACAGGACAGTTTGGAATGGGTGGGCTGTGGGGTAGTCCGTATCCATCCTTTGACTTCTTGTTCCTGACTGGCCAGTACCCTGCGGGCACAGTCAGTCACTTCAGCCAGGACTACGAGCAGGGACGAGACTACTCTCACAGCACTCACTACCTGAAAGACCACCCCTACCCCGGCTTTGCACAGTCAGTGGGGGCTGTTGGAGCAGCTCAGAGCCTTCAGACTCCCAGCTTGTATGT